AAACTCCCAAGCTCCTTTATTCTCTATGGAAGCTTCCCTTCCAACTGACCTGTGGGCAAGCTGAAGCTTCCTCTTCTAAAATCTAAAACCACTGCCTTAGTACTAATCTTCAGAGTGCACAGTTGGACCCCAAACTCCACAAAATTGTGATGGCTGCAGCCAAAGCCATCAGTAACTGAGGTATTACAGAGCTGTTTCTTGGTTGGTGAGCACCAAGTCCAGTTGTGCCTCATTCCTGGTTAGCACAGCTAACATTTGTATGAGGGAACAGTCCTCTAYGCATTCCWGGAGCCTGATGGATGATGTGACCTGCAGTATTGCTCTACCAACAATGTCTGGATAGTTGAAGTAATCTAAAAGACCCAATGTTGTTAGATGTTTATCTAAAGCTGGCTTAAGTGACCCAAATATTACTTTCCTGCCCCAATCAACTTCATTTGGAGGTCGGTACAGATGTCTTATCTAAGATCCCCCTTGGAGATGTCCCTTCKGATCCTGATCCAGAGAATTTGATAGGGCTTCCATACTCACTGCACTTGGCTTCTACACATTTGAGGCACTCCTTAACTTGAAGTGCAACTCCCCCTCCTCTTCTTCCTGGACTCTCTTTACAAAATAGCCTACAGCCATCCATCATAATCCTCCAGTCGTGTGAGTTGTGCTATCATGTTCCAGTAACTCCTGTGATATCCTAACTCTCTGACTAGGCTCCTGAGATCCAGTTCCTCTGGTGTTTATTCCCCAGGCTGTGCACATCGGTATAAACACACTGAGGTGGTTGGTCTTGTTCTTTTCTTGGAATAGCTACGGAACAGTCATCTCTGCTCTGGTTGGCCTGGCTTATTCTCCACTTGGCTGCAATGGCAACCACTTAAACCCACCACTTATATGGTTCTCCCCTCCAGATTCCTTTCATARCTTTAGAGAAAACTTACTACAGAGAATTCAGCTTGCCTGTCTCATCTCTCCACACCTTGGATTGTACTCATTAGAGCTGGGGTACTTTGGCTGACCTGAGGCATCAGCTATTGTYCTCCAGAAGATGGCAGGCAGATATTTAAGTACGAGTGTGGTATTTACATTAGTACACGTGTGGCTACATTACTCAGCCATATGAGGTTATGACTTTACCCTCCCAGTACTTCTAAAAAAGCAAATAGAAGTATGTTTAAGCTTTGTGTACTATATGTTATAAATTTTCCTAAGGCAGCTATCACACATTGACATTTTAAGACCTTAATTAAGGTTGATTTATTTACAAATGRTATGTTTTCAACTCTCAGAAATGATGTATTTAATGTTTTATTTTTAAACACAATTAAAAAATAATATATAAATATATACATACTGCAAATGCAATACAGATAACAAATTCATTTAAGCCCATTTATGCACATTAGTGACACACCATGTGGCAGAAAGACTAGGACTACAAGAAGACCCCGTGGCGATTTATTTTATATTAAATCCCTAATGGCCTCTTCTCATCTTTGCAAAAATATGCACAAAAGTCCAGACTATGCAGCCATTGAAATGAATGGTTATTTATTTGCTAAACGAGAACCCTATGTTTAATGTTCCTTAGACATAAGGTAGTCTGCAAAAGTCGCATTCCTACAGCTCCATACATCATTTATTTTACATACCCTAACTTCTCACAACAGGCATCAGAAAAATACTTTTGAACCGCATTGCTATTATAAGTTGCTGAGAATTTTGTTTCAAATTCCATTACTGGAAGATTAAATGTTAACATGTTTACTTGGGGCTTGCTTCTTGTTTTGTTTTTAACATTAAAAACAAATTCATGGACCAATCTGCCATTTAAAATATGTTTATATTTATACTGCAAAACAAAAAAAGTTCCTGAATTCACAATATATATACATAATCATTACTGACAGACAACAAAAGTGCAAATCTTCAAAGAAAAATGCTGTAATCTCACTTATTTGGGTGTAGTGGTCTTCCTAGTACTTGTTTGACATATTTCAGCTAGGTTACAGGTTCTTGATTTGCYCTACAGAAGTATTAAAAATACCACTTTTCATAATGCAGAAATAAAATCATCCAAATTAGTAAAATAGTGGCATTTCTTACTAAAACTACAAACTAGCCTGAAAATCAAACCATATCTCTGAGATCAGACTATTTTATCATAGAAGRTCATAAACTGTGAATCCAACCATCTTTATTTTTCAAGTTACTGCTGTTGGAACAGCCATGGTGGGTTCCTCTGAGCCACAGAGCCACAAAGAGGGAAGTTGTTACAAGAGACAGAACTTTCCATTGGTACCATCCTCAACTCATTTGGACTCTAGAGAACACCTAAGGACAGCCAAGCTTCCCATGGCAGCATGAACTTGCAGGTCACTCTCYTGAGGAAACAACACTGGTGACAGCAGCCTCCACTGAGGCATGTTCCCCAAGCCTTTAGAAGTGCAATACAGCCTCTAAAGAAGTGGCACACAACCTGGAAATTGTCTTTATGAAGTTTGTGGATGCCATGGCCAGACACATGAACCCCAAAAGATCTTGTTTTCAACTGACTGATCTGCTTCTTCATGTGGTAATTGATTATCTGTATACAAAGTTACTTCAGTGAGTAGTTAGAATAAATTTTCATGAACTAACAGATAAAAGACTTAGTCCAACAAGCATGTTATTTGTCTTTGCTATAATGAGCCATTTCAACTAARCCAAACATTTATGAAACCTGGATGGTTTTTCTGGTGTGCTGCACTTTAAAAAGCAGAGAACTGAGTTCAGTTTACAGCAGAAGTATTCCCTTTTCAGGAAAAAAAATTTCTCAGAAAGTCACATTGAGAAGATATTTCTCATTTCCAAGAGAATTCCAGCAGAGAAGCAGCAAAACATACTCTCAGGGTATAACATAATGTAACAGAAATTAACTGTAACACATACACTGAATTTTGCTACAATATCCTATGAGTAATCATTATTGTGACTTGGGGAAACTTTCTGGCAAAGGCAASAAAAATAACTGTGTTCTGGGCAGTGTCACTTTTATTATGCCATTCTCTTGGAAAATAGAGTGGTTATGCCTGCGAGATCCAACCAGCATACACTCTTGACAGCCAGTCACTGGAGACACAGGTGTAATTTCAATTTACAGCTTTAATGTCACCTAAACCCAGGAAAGTCAGATCCAATGGTGGTTATCTCAAGAAATTCAAAGCTGCATATGGACTCTTAGAGAAACATAAACACATCCACACAAAAAGAGTGCCCTACAGAAAGCAATGAGAGTGGGTTTTTTTGCCATATTTGTTGATTATGGAAATAAAAAAAAGTGACCTTGTGATACTTGTGAAGAAGCAAAAACACAAACACACTACAGATTCAACACTTGTTGCCAAGCCTGTTCTTCTTGATCCCTTAATATTTAGTCAGGTAATGTCTTTGAGGATGAATAACAAATTACCATTATTATGGCTGAGAAAATCATGAATTCATTAAAGTTTGTATATTCTGAGTTTATAACAGAATTCTAAACCAAATAGACAGACAGGTCCGAATAGTTTTGTCATTAATTTCTTTCTATGTATTGTGCTTCTGATACAGGGTGAAGTAAAAATCATGTGATCCCTGGAGCAAATAACAGTGAGTAAAAAACAGTTTTTGCTGGTCAAGCACCAAAAATGAGGATGTTCAGAAAACGTCTGAACAAAGAGCAGTAATGCAGCAAATGCGAAACTCATCTCATCTCCATCCCAATAACTTTGCAAACATTTTATCTCGGAAAAAAGAAGCAGTTACACCCCTGAAAAGTTAGCCCTTTCTAATACAAACTATTCACAACAGAACAACACACAGCAACAAGCAGAGGAAGGTATCTGCGACCTCCAGAAAGAAATCCCAGCAAAAATACTAGTAAAAAAATTACTTAACAGTCTGCGACTAAAAAATAGCTAATGTCCGTAAAACCTGATCAGTTTGCTCGTACAGGCAAAGAAGATGCCCTCCATAATGACCACTAGCCACAAAAAAAACAAAAAAACTATTATGGAACATTTACTGCTTGACCACCAGATCTTAACACTCCTTGGCCAAGGTAAGTCAGCATCACGTGCTATAMCATCACTGAAAACAGTTTGAAAATACCCCTGTTTTGAGGACTAGGAGAATCTACTGCTGACAAAGTCAAATGGTGAGTTTCAGCCAAAAGGAAGACAAGTTCCAAGCTACAATTAATTTGAGCACACAGAGTAGCAAAGATGAGGTCAGACACATTTACCTGGAGCTTAGACCTGTGGAGTGCAAGGTCTGCATTCTACATAGTAATTCAGCATGATTAAATGGAAAATACACAAAAATAAACCTTAATGTTAAAGCTAGTTGCTAATTAGTTCCTCCTGTCCACCTGTCCATCTGTCCACCATCAACTGAAACTTGACAGAGTAAAAGAGAAAGATTTAAAACCAAAGAAGAGGAAGATTTTATTAAGAACTATTTTAGTCCTGTTTTCCCTTTTGGGGATTTTTCTTACAATACTCTTTCTCCATCCCYCTTCGTCCCAACCTCTGTGTAATTTTCAGGATAAAAGTATGGCTCATAAAGCAGTGCAGTTCATAAAACAGTTTGGTGGTAAAGATTGCTAAATATTGAAAAAGCYACATGAGTACTAATAGATTCCATTTCATTTCTTAAAGCTTTGCTACCCAGTTTGCTTTGTATATCAAAGCAAATCACACCTTCATTTCACCCAAAGGCTGCAATTTGCTTACGCCATCATTTATGCCATTGTTCTTAACACACTGTGGTGCAGTACAATCTAACGGGAGGGAATGTTCATATTACTGTAATAATGTAAATCAGACATCAAACAGCTACTACTTCTCTCTAAGTTAATTAAATCACTGAAAATTCTGCTCATTTTGAAAAAATATTGAGAAAATAATTTGTTCATAATATGTTTTTTAAAACCATCTTTGTATGCAATCAGGCTGCTTAACATGCTGTTTTAAGTATCCTCTTACCTCCAGTGTCATGTACACAGTGCTAATTGCTACTTTGATTTCTCCATCTGAAATCTCCTTGAGATCCTTGAGCATAAGCTCCTCAATATTCACACCTGTTTGAGAAGAGAAACAAATTTCCATATATACAAATATCTACAGCTGACAGATGCATCAACATAAACTAACAACACCGCTTAGACCTTAATGCTGAACCTACCTATTTYGGGACGTCATGTGAGAAAATTAAAACCAACATTAATATCTCAATGCTTAATGTTTCTAGAGGGATTTGTTTTAAGAAAGGAAGATTTTTAAGGGAGGGAAAACACTAACAAGTATAAAGAATTAAGTCCCTGCAACACCTGTGTTCTGTGAGAACATACAATTTTTTAAGTCAGCTTAATTCCAGCTGATGCTAAATGTATAGATAAACCATTCCTCTAGTCTAATATGAAATCACCAATATAAAATACTTTTGAAATAAGCAATATATTGAAATCACCTATGGACTACTATGGTGTTTGTGAAATAATCAAAAGCAAGGYACTTAAGATATTCTTTAAATACAAGATATTAAACTTTTTGACCTTCTTCATGATTGATAACACCAATGGGCTTTTCTCATGTATACCAAATCATTCATGAATGAAGTGAATGTTTATGTGCCACAGAAACGTTATCATCAGAAACAATGGTGTAAAACTGGAATTGCACCCAGACATGTTAGTCCATATGTTTAARTGCACTGTATTGAAAAACCCAGGTGACTAAGTTCCCCTAATTGGAAATGTTTGTCTAAAATGCTTTAAAGATTCTCACAACAAGTACATATTATGTAGAAGACCACAGTTACATCACGTGATCAAAAATACAGACATGACAGCCAAATGCCTATGTAAAGAATGCTGCAAGAYCCCTAGCTCAGTGCAGGGTGAAAACTAAAATGTCCACTGACTTAAAGATTAGCAGTTTAACATTCACTTGTTTGTATGAATGATTTTCAAGAGGCAAACAAATACCAACTTAAGTCAAAGAAACAAATCCTTTCATTACTGTTTCTGCAGATAGTCCAGCTACTGCATTCAATCTGATGACAAGATGAACATTTACACATCTGTCCTTTAAAAAATATTGTCTATCACTATAGACTTTCTGAGGGGCTGCAATGTAGTGTGCCTCAAATAACAAATGAATTCATGAATTCACACCAATAAATCATTATTTCTGCATGAAACTGAGGATTCTTTTTTCCTGAATTGTCCTAATATTGCCTCAAATAACAGGTAAATAACRTTGGATACTCAGCAGAGGTCACATCCTTCAAGGGACTTCTGAAACTCAGCAGTATCCTACTAATAGAAATGTCACATGCAATATATGCATATGTAATATGAATATGTGCTAAATATGTACCCTGTGATACACAGAAAACAGGAGCTAAAAGCCAAAAAGGAAAAAAAAAATGCATCACAGTGCCCTCCTCATTTATATATGTCCAATGTGACATATAAATCACTGGCAAGCAATAACATGCAGACTAAAATCACTACGTGTACTTGTCCGAGTTTTGCATTTGATATTAGGGAAAACTTCATGGGCCAAGTACATGACAAGSAACATTAAACCATCTTCCTTGCTAACTGGCAGAACTAAAAACTGACCTCCACAAAAGCCACTTCCACTGCCATTTTCCTATCTAGACTGCATACAGGTCATTCCTGAACTATGATTACTTGAGTGGAGGAACTTAAAACAATTCATGTGAACATTTATGGCCCTGAACGAAATTAGCTCGTAATCTCACTGAAAGAAAGGGCAAAGGAAGCAGCTTCTCAAATCCCACCCTTATCTACCAGACAGGACAGCTCTCTCAGGTTGAATTTTGACAACCACCTTCTGCATATGGGCAGATAAACAAGAGTAAAAGAAGGCCCTGAGTATGCACAAACCCTGTGCTTACCTGATCTATTTAACAAAGAAATATTTCAGGAATTTAATTACTCTTTGTAACAACTTGGCAGCAAACAGAATCCCTTCTAAAGCATGCTACTAAATTTTGGGTTCAAACATTCCCACTTTAGATCACYGAATATTTCTATTTGACATTCCTATCAGAAGAAAGGAAAAGAATTGTACTGCTTCCTTAATCTTAGTCTGATGTCACATTCACTTCACTGTACACAGCCCTCAGTAAATCTGGGAAGAGTAAGAGGAAAAAATCTACTTCCACACCATGTAGGTAATTGCAGCACAATTTCTGCACATGAGCTGACACATCTATTATGTCCATGTGAATCAACTTAAGTTCTTGATGAGTATACACTTGTAAAAGCAATATATGAAAGAAATTAATGTTAACTTTATCTGTAAAAGCAATACAAAATTATTTATGAGCTTTGTAGTGCCTCAAAAATAATCACCATTCCATGATTCAGAATGTTAGAAATTTAATTTAAAATCAATATAGTAMATTTAACTGTGAATTAAGATAGCCTGCTGCAGCTATTTTCACCACATACAATAAAATAATATTCTGATACAGTTATATAAACAGATTTGGAACAGGCCTGAAAAATGGAAGGAAGTTACACTACCTTGTGCATTAACCTGTGTCTCCTGCAGGACAGAGATTATTTCCTCTCGTGGGGGAAGATCTGGAAACTTTTCCTCCAGTATTGACAGTACTTTCTCCTGTTGCTCTGTAATTCTGTCAGCTTCCAAAGACATGCACTTGAAGAGAATGCTTCCTGAAACATTGAAAGATATAAAATCAACATCTTCTGTAAATATCAAGAGGTACTACAGAAACAAGAATGTTTACASTGTTGCTTCCTAAACCCCTTCCTTCTTAGAGGCTGTTTCTACTGAGAGCTCACTGAATTCACAGAGAAACATCCTCCTAACATGGACCTCCTAAATCTGAACTGGGTGCCTCTTCAGTGCCTCTGCTACAGCTATTTGGCTGGTCCCAGCACTGCCACGGTGTGCTTCTGCACATTAACACCACTGCGCAGCACAGCCTGATGGGACACCAGCCTGTACTCCTGTCTCTGAGCAGCAGGCTAAGTGCTGGTGTTTTGAAACAGTAAACCCACACTGTCAACCTTCCTTCTACATACGTGTCAGGGAACTCCAACATAAGAGTGGACATAAGAAGTATTTTACTGTGAGGGTGTTGAGGCACTGGAACAGGCTGCYCAGAGAAGCTGTGGATGTCCCACAGTATTCTGGCAGTATTCAAAGCCAGGCTGGACCAGGCTCAGAGCAACCTGGACTAGTGAAAGGTATCCCTGTCCATGGCAGTGGTGCTGGAACTAAATGATCTTAAAGTCATTGGTCACTGTGGTGTAACCGACTCCGGCTAATTCCTTGTCAATGGACACATGAAAAAACCCACCAATTCACACAATCAAAATTTTATCATTTAGGAGAAACATAACCTAATAAATAACTTCATAGTGATTGGTATAGTTTTACAATACAGAAGTGGGAGTGATGTCTTTTCAGACAACCATGTGCTGCACATAAAGTCACCCTTTCATTCCCTGGAGACTGGGATYCCATTTAATACACCCAAGAACAGCGTTTCTAATCACTCACAGTAAATTAAGGAAAATAAAATCTTATACTTCAGTGTTGMAATTGTTACTCTACTGTGCACAAGAATTTCAAACAAGAGTGTGATTTCACTGGATCATGCTGGATCAATTAGCAAATCAGTACAATAATTAAGRTAGTTACTGCAAAACACAGTGTTTAGACTTTAGCACAGAACAGAAAGGGTAAACAAAAAACCTTCACACTGCCAGCCTCTATCTCACCAGATCAGCTAAGATCCAAACATCTACCATATATTCATTTTTCTTTTCTCCTACAATGTCATCAGAGGAAATAACTGCATTTCTTTGAAATTCAGAAAGCACTTGCAACATGAAATAATTGTGCCATGCTAAGTAAACACATGCTTAATAGACAAATCCTGCRTGGATTAAATAATAAATAATGCTCAGTAAGCCTAAAGCTGTTCCCCATCAGATATTAATTTCTGGAAATTCAAATAAGTGAAGTTCCATTCTGCATTTCTATTACAGATATTGTAACTGACAATATTATTTTAATTTACAGCAGCTCTTTATGTCAGTCCTACAATCACTTTAAGACAATGCTCCTCCTCTATGTGATAGAATTAAAAACACTCAATAAGCACAGACTGCATGGAAATTATGTATACTGATCCAGATTGATACTTCTAAAGTCCAGTGCACAAACCTGGCTCCCTAACAAGCAGATTTCAGATTTCTACAGGTAAATAACCGATATATAAAGCAGTCCAGATATCTATGTCCATTATCAAGACTTGGTTTTCAGTCCCTCTAACAGGAAGAAAGTTTCTCAATCAGCAGCCTCCACAATAATTCACCCAACAATATCCCTTTGCTGTTCAGCCCCCAAGCCTATAACAGTGCTTGGGCTACATATAAACTCTTGAGATATATTCTTGTCCATAGCTTGGGAAGGGCAGTGACCACAATGAGTTAGACACCCCACAGCACAGAGATGCAACTGGATCAATGGCAGCTCAGGGACCAGGCTGCACGAAATATTGCGGCAACAGCAATTTTCTTCTTTTTTTATTTCCTCCAGGAACAGAAAGGGAAATTGCTCATGCACACACAATGAAAATGGAGACTCCAGTAGAAAGTGCTGGATCTACAGTGTGTGCTCACATGCATCCTACCTACTGCAGGGAGACTGCAGCATATCCCATAAAGCCCTCCAGCAGCACTAGGATGAGTTAGGCAGTCTGTCCATCTGCACAGAATCTTGAACACACAATGCATGACACTTTCACCACAGTTGTGTGTGCTTCAGGGAATGGAATATTGAAGTAAGACCAAGAAGAGAAAATCCTAATACAAACATACAGGGAAATGCAGAAGAACAAAAGGTGTGAATTGTATATCCAACCAAGCTCACCAGTCTGGAAGTCAACATGATGYGGTCTTCACTCACCACAGGCAGACACCTTAGAAAAGTTTGTAAAGACAATAACGATTTGTCACTAGTCCCAGCTATACTGTAGGATTTGCAGTACTGTAAATGCCTGCAATTGATAACTTTTCCACTAAGATGAAAGCCAGAAAAGGAGCATTCTCAAATTACTAGGGTGTCAGCAAGCCCTAAGATCAACATTTACTTGTTCTTTAATACTACGATCATTCTTCAATACTGTCCTCATCAGCAGGAAAGGCACACSTCTTCTCTCCCAGGCATCCTCAGCATTCCTGTGAGGTTTAAGATTCCAGGTACTTTAGAAAAAGAGCTCACTTAAGGTACTTCTGCTTGGCCAAAGGTCAGTAGCCCATCTAGTTATGTGCTGTCTTATAAATACCTGCTGTAAAATCAATACAGGGTCTCAGAAACCTCCTGCAGATTTAACTGAGTGCTGGTGCAACTCCCCCAGGGTTTCTGAAAGCATAATGGTGGCTGCTCTGTCTGCTTACCAGCACAGAAAAAAATATATAATAGGCAGTACAAGATTCAATATTATTTCTTGTGTGCATCACACTTTACTAATTTTTTTTTTCTGAAGAAGAGGTCACTGGAAAATAGGCTATGGCTCTTAAAAATGTGCATTTTATCCTTTTCTTTTTCAAAGCATTTTGGAAGTGAARCATTAGTTTTGCCAAAAGCAATTGCTGTGCATTAATATTAAACATGATCTAATGAAGGCAGAAGTCGTTTTGGGAAAACATTAAGAACAGCACAAGCATCTCCTGAATTATAAGTTTATGGCTGACAGAAACAGTACAATGAAAATATAGGCATTTCYTCTGTCAAGGTTTTGTTCCGTAACGTGGAAAAATAAAGGACAGGGAAAAGAGGAAAACTAACAGTCCTTCATGGAAAGTATACTTCATCACACCTCCCCATCCCCCAAAAAATGCAATCCATATGTAAACATATCCATATAAGCAACTTTTACTGAAACTAACAGGAAGTGCAATGAAGCTGGAATTAAATGCAACTGGAGAGAAGAGAGGAGAAGCATTGCCTCTAAAAAAACTGCTTCCGTACATTAAAATCAACTGTCAGTCCAAGTAAGTGCAGTGTTTGRTGCAGGTCAAAATTATCCTTTCTTTCTGGAACATACATTAAGGATGAAACAACGASGGAACATGTGAGTCATCTGATCAATGTACAGGACAGAACAAAAAACCAAAAAGAATACTGGCATAATTCCCAAAGCCCTTAAAAGGGCATTTCTCAACATTTGTCTGGTTGGCTAAAATAACAAAATAATCTTCTCTACTGAAAGTCAGACTGCCCCAATAGGGCATGAAAAGACTTCAACTATAGTAGTTTGCATCACCAGCAAAAGCAGACTCACAACAAAAAAATTGCTGATGCTCTTGAGGGAAATCTGTCTATATTTACATGTTGCAGTTTGCACCTTGTGGCATCCTTCAAGGCCTTATACAAATAAACATAAGGAGGCATTTTTGAGAGTGCATTGACCCAAGATACCTGACAGTGAGTGCTTGGAATAACATCTTTGCCAGCTGGCTGCAGAAGAGAATGTAATGATTCAGCAGTTTAATGGATCTTGAGTTTGGCAACAGTCCCCTTATAAACATCTCTAGGGAAATAAAATAATACAGGCCCAGGACTCTGGCAGGTTCTGTAATTGTTTGCTTCTGGCACAAATCCAGGGACAGCTCTAACTTAAGGCAAATATGGCTGTACAACACTGATTCTCCAAGCAGACTCTACTCAAAAGCCCAAGGGTAGAATTAGCTTATATCATGTCTGATAGGCAGACAAAGATACCAGAAAACCATTCAGCCAAAAAAAAAAAAATCTTTAAATCTAAAAACGCTTAAACTGAACAATAAGTCAGTTTCACAGCAAAAGTCTCTTTTCATAWTTTTTTTTAAAACATAGACAAGCAGATAATATTTGCTCAAAGTTGAAATGTGGCAGGTTATAGACACCTGCCTTTTTATTAAAATTTTAAAATTGCTAACAGACTTCAAGAAAATAGAAGTTTCAAAAACAACTGAACAAATTAAGCTGTCTTGGTCGCTACATGGTAATCATTAAAATTTTCTACTAACTTACAATTCTCCTAGCAAAATACTMACTGGAAGGTCAGAAAATGAAACAGGACTTCCCAGCTCAGAGACTCAGATAATAGTATCTCGTGGAGTTTTTATGAAAATAACATGCTAACTCTTAGCAATCTGACTTGTATTTTCGTCTCTGTTCTGAACTCCACCTGAAATTTAGACATACTAACATATACAGATTTACATTGGAAGTAACATAAGGAAATGTGAAAACCATAGTAGAGCCTTCCTGCAGCCTCTGTGCCTGTGAAGTGTCCCCAAAAAGAGGTGACAACCAGCAAGTCTCTACATCCTCATTTGTCACTATTGAGCGTGAAACAGCCACACCTCCATCTAGGCCACACTACATCTCCCCTTTGCTTCCTACACTGTCGTAAGATGAACTAAAGAAGCTATACCTCATGATAAAAGACCACATAATATTTACAGAGAAACACGAAAGCTGAACCTGGCATACTGTATTTAATCTTTTATTCTCAGACTGTTGTAGTTTGATCAGCCATTTAAATACACTTGTATCTGTGTTTTAATTTTTTTTTTAAATTAATCTTATCAAAACCCAAATGATGGGTTCACTGACTTTTCTAAATTTGTAATGAAAGATTCTTAAGTATCAAAAATCTTTTGTGTTTTAAGAGACCAAGAGGACTTGCTGCATTGCTTCACCTTTTATGCATACAAGCTGCACTGCTGGGAGAAGCAGAAAAGCATCAAGTCCAAGCGCAGCTGTGTTTTGTTCCCCAGGCTTTGCCAGTCATTTCTTACACCATGCAAAAGAAGGCATGCAGGGACTTTTTATCCACTCAGTTCCTCAAACATGCACTACCACATATAATAACCAAAATGTAGTTACTTATTAATAAAAAAAAATACTAGATACTATATTCCTGAAAACTGGAAGTGCTATCTCTAATGCAAACACTAATAAAAGCACTTTATTTTAAATTGGATACAGGTCAGAGGCTGTGTGGTGACACAGCCACCTACACTACTTGAACATGTTCTTGAACATTATTTAGACCTCTCCCTCCTGAGTCTGCACCAACAAACACATATTCTGATACTGCCCAAAAACTTTTTTTTTTTCCTGCCTCCAAAACCAATTTTTATGCTTGGTCATTTGCTTAGATTCCTGGAGAGTTACTCAATAGAAATTTGGGTCTTACAAAAACATTTCATGGCAGGTTAACTAAAGCTTGTAAGCATGGAAAGATACTGTAAGAGCAGGCTAAATGTTGTGTTACTGTTAATGCCTATTCTATGAAATATTTTTTTTAAATTAACTTTTGCAATTTCTTATAACATGTTAGTATTTATTGCAGTGATGAGTACAATGATAAGCCAAGATTACAGTTGTTTCTGAAGTCTAAATGYAGACAAGTTTTCATAATCTTCATTAAACATGCCCACATTAACTTCCTAAAAGGACATTTAACAGTTTTGCATCATTAAAATCTATAAAATTTATTGAACATTATTAAAATTCCGTAAGAAACTTAACAGCAGTGACCATTCTTTTCAAAACCAGATTTATTTCCAACTGGAAGGTTTTGCTGCAGAAATAAACCAAGAAAATGAATACAAATGATGAACTTCCAAGACAGGGAAGAAAATACTTTTGACTGTTGAAGCCTACCCCCTCCTTGTACTCTACAGGGCATACAGTACAAAAGAGAAGGAGAGCACAATGAAGATTTGGTAACACTGTTTTTAAACAGCAAAAGTTTTGCCTCGCACCATTAAAACATCATTCTATAAAAAAGTGCCACCATTGGGAGGGAGAAGCTTTAACTTGTAAATATTAGATTCCAATCCATATTGTTGTCCACAATGCCCCTGGAATCAACGAACTGCACAGCTTTTCCAGCTACCCAGCTGGTATGTCGACAGCTTCATTTAATATTCTTGTCTAGTGATACAGCAAAGACCTCTCATGCCTATTTTTAAATGCACATTTTTAATATTCAATATAATGTTACTCTTTAACAAACTCTTTACTCCCTGCTTCTTTTATGAAGCTTCCCGTGGTCTTTAAAGGGATTGTTAACCAAAGAATGGATCACACTCTTTCTGCATGAGCAAATTCAGAAACACTCCATTAAACCTTTCAGTATTTAATATAAAGAGTAATCTCTCACCTCTGAGGAGATAAGCCAGTTGCTGAGTGATTAACTCTGGTGCCTTTTGAAGAATCTCTTTTACGACTAACGAGGAAGAACATGCTTGTAACTCCAGGCTCCTGTCACATTGCTCATCTGGATTGATGACTTTGACAACAGCTGATTCCAAACTTTTATCCTCACTATCAAGCAAATTTAAAAGTTATATATATGTATTTGTCTTTACAGCTGCTTAGATAACCCAGTAAAAAAAGTGCAATATTTTAAAAAAAATTCTGGATTACTACAGCATTTCTAGAGCTACTTGAAGTCTGCTATCAAGCCAAAGAATGTCATGGAGGTTCTAAATATGTGATTTTTAAAATTAAGTGTTCAGAGTTCTTTTATTGCTTGATACATCACTAAGGATGACATTTCCCCCATCAAAATCCATAAAAACTAATGATTTGGACAATACTTGGGCTGACAATAGCTTTCTATATATAGAGAGGAARTTTTGGATTTTCCCTAGTGAATAATTTGAAAACTTAACAAGAAATTTTTTTTTTTTGGCATTTAGATATTTTATGTTTCTTTTTACAATAGCAGTAACTAAGCCAAATTAATTTCAATAATAAAATACTAATCATAATTCTTCAGAAGGAAGAAAGACAGGAAGGGACAGCAGTAAATAAAAAAACAATCTTACAGATAATTTTTACTTTGAGGAGTGAATGATGCACTTAGCTGATGGCAGTTACACATCAACAGCTATGAGATTCACACATATTTCTCTCTTAGGACTAGATATTGGGAAAATCTGATCTATTAATTTCTCAGAGTATGATGGCGCCATAGGATGCTGCTGTCTCACATGAAGTTCTAAGGAGAGATGGAAGTAAACAGCTTCCCTCACTCTGGGCAAGACAGGCCGACCCTTATAAACAGGCTCTCCATGAAAGATTCATGATGAATTTGTAAATAATCCCCCTAAGGATGGGTATGTGGACTGTGGTCTTCCAGAGAGCAACTCTGAGCCTTTTGAAAGGCTGTGGTTGGAAAGAACCACAATAATCCATCAGCCATCTTAACAGCACATATGCAGGTGTCTGGACACCTGCAAATCAATATAAGAGTCTTAAGGGAAAGCTGACTAAGATAACTCTGATCTCTTATCCATTGGCCACAGGAAACTTCTAGACTATTAAATGAAAATATCTAATCTTAGCTGCGTGAAAACACAAGTTTYGTAAAAACTGAAGTTCCATTAAAAGGGATGCAAAGATGACTATTCACCTTGTTACATTTATTGAACATAATAGGAGACAAAAATATATCTTAGCTTACTTTTTTAGGTTTGTATTAACATAGCAACATCAGTATTAATACAGAAAAAACATGACTTTTGAAACAGTTCAAATTCACATAAGCCATTTCATTGCACATAAAACACAATACCTTGTAAGCATGTTGCTGTTTACAAGTGTTAAAGACAATTTCCCTTCAGCATTCAGCTGATGCAAATTGATTTCATCTCGGAAGATATGGAATGTCTCTGGGATATTCAGTTCCTCCAAAATAAATTTTGTCTCAGTGAAGTAGCTAAAGTCTCTTCTTGGTATGTTCAACACAGGTAAGCAAAGAACATCAGGAGGACTGACCTGAAACATAGGTGTGCATTTGTCAGAATTGCATAAAACTGGAACTGTTTTTCATCAGGACGGTATTTTAACAGAGTGAGCAATTAGGAACAGCCTGGATTTTCTGGTTTTCTCTGTTTGGGTTTTATTTCCTCTTTACTTAATTATAAGTATTTTGCTCTTTTTTTTTTTTTTTTTTCCTCTTCTCATCTGTCTCCATTTGCCTTCTCCAGAATACCTGGGACACCAGAAGAGGAAAAAGATAAAGAGTGAAGTACAGGGCTGATTTCTTCCTGCAATTCAATAAACCATCTAATAACCACTCATTCACGTTTGTATGGAAAGAAATGTAGATTATTTTTCTTTTAAAAACTCACCTCTGCTAATAACAAAATCATTGTCCAGAAAGTATCTTTTTACAGTAATTAACTTCAACAATCAGATGTCTGTAACAACCTGGAACAAGTGAATTAAGAGCACTTAGTCCAATTTTTCCATTACCTTGTCTAGAAAGTAGGCATAGGCCAGGGCAGAAATAAGTGAATCCAAATCACAGGGTTTATTTCCAAGAACAACATGGACTTTTTCCAGGCGTTTGCTCCTGTTCTGTAACAAATTAGAAGACAATTGCAATGAGTGGAAATGATGAAAAAAGGTCAAATCACCAAGACATTTCATAAGACAAGTATCAGGCTTTGTTCTCAGTTGTAGCATTCTTCACTGCTGGTAGAAGGAATAGACTTAGTGAGGGATCAGACATTCCTTGCCTTCATAGCTCTCAAGAAAGCCAAAACCTGTTTCCCAAGAGACCGTAGCCTATTACCCAGTGAGGTCTAAACATGACAGAAATCCCACAGATAAGCAGAACCTTCAGGTCCATGTGGGAAAAGTTTTTCAAAACACCTCACAAATCCATTAAGAAAAAGATGTCCAAAAAAACATGGAAATACACAAAGCAAAATACACAGCAAATAATACATTGCAAGTTGCAACTTTAATTTTACCCTTTTTTCTTTACTCAGCTGAAATCAGTAACCAACGAAGTAACTGGCTTTCACCCTGAATCTTCAGAAGCTGAACACAGATGAAGTACAAAGGGTTTTGAATCATTCTCATTTGCAAAGGGGACTGCATTTAATAAAATTAGGAGCCTTCCAAACAAGAGGAAAAGAGAAGACAAACCTACTGTGTGAAAGCAAAGTATTGCAGGGAAGGGTCTACTTTCTTCATAATTGTACACACAAAATACAAGACCAAGTTCTTTTCTTGTGCACATCATTAATGTCAAGCTAGCTGCCCAGAAACATTACTGTTTATTTTCTTTCAATGCTTCTTAATTGGTGTACTATACCTGAGTGACAYTAAGGGACATGTTTCAGAACTAAATACATACAAGTAAACATTTTCGTTGTGGGCATGTACAGGCTGATGTACTTTTTTTGTTATTTTTAATTGGAATTCTGGATAACAAATGAAATTTTAATCTTTCAATAGAAGCATATAATTATTACATTACCCTTAATAATTATAAATGTCTAATTTTTTTTTAAGCTAACTTTTTCTCCTTGTGTCTGGTCTTAGTTCTACCTGGATATAAGGATTAAACTTAGGTTCTCTTTCCCTTAATGGAACACAGCCATAAAAAGACCTCTAAGTAATCAAACCAGGACACATATTCTCCATTCCCTATATAGTGGGAAAGACAGACAGCTTTCTGACGAATACAGTGACTCGAACAGATATGCTTATTTATGCTCTAAGTCTTCACCAGCAACAAACTGTCTCCATTTACCTCTTTTCAATACAATTTTTGGAATGTGTTCTTCTGCAACATGCATTTCTGATTGATTTATTGCCAACATAAAGAACGAAAATAAAGCTCATTAGCTTATCCTTTTTTTAGTACCCTCACAGTAAAGRATTTCTTCATAATATCTAACCTAAACCTGCCCTTTTACAGTTTAAGACCATTCCCCCTTGTCCTATCACTAGGTGCCTTGTCAAAAGCCCCTCTCCTGCTTTCTTGTAGGGCCCCCTTAGGTACTGGGATGCTACAACCACCCCAAAGCCTCCTCTACTCCAGGCTGAACAATTTCCATTCTCTGAGCCTGTCTTCACAGGAGAGCTGCTCCAGCCCTGCGATCAACTTAAGGGCTCTGCTTTGGACTCATTACAACAGGTCTATGTCTTCCTTATGCTGGGACCCCAGAGCTGGGATCTCACCAGAACAGAACAGAGGGACAGAGTCTCCTCCCTTGCCCTACTGGCCATGCTRCTTTGGATGCAGCTCAGGACAAAATTGGCTTTCTGGATTGTGGGCACACATTGCCAAGTTACATGGCAATGTACATGGCAAAATTACATTTTTGTCCACAAACACCCACAAGTCTGTCTCCTCAGAGCAGCTCTCAGTCCCTCTCCAGGCAGYCTGTGTTTGTGCGCGGCACTGCCCTGGCCCAGGTGCAGCATCATGAGGTTTGCACAGACCCTCAAACYTAACAGGGTCCCTCTGTGGTAGAGACAGTGACCAGTGATATCCATTCCCCCACCCTTCCTGTTTTTCTCTTCACTGAGCAGATTTTCTTCTCTTCTCCTTCCCCTCCTGCAGATTCAAGAAACATATTTCCCCAATATTTCATCTCCCCATGTATAGCTGTATTTCTTAACATCTTACTACCACTTAGTAATAACAACCATCCCAATATTGCTCATAAATGGAACCCTAAAATTTGGCGTCCAAACACTGCTCATCTAACAGCTCTGAGACTGCTTCCTCCTTCCCCATCTCAGATACAACTAGTCTGCCTAGTCTAATGGGTGCTAATCAGCCACCCTCAGGAAAAGCAAGAACATGGATGGGAGGCTTTCTCTTACAGGTCTTTCCTRAAAAAAGCACAGCAGAGAAGCCCACAATCAAGAATACAAGGATCCTTAAGCTCAGTAAGGCTTAGCTACAATAAGACTAAAAAGTGATTAGCTCCTGCAGTTATCACAGCTAAACCTGAGAGGAAGCATTAACTCCCAGTATCTCCAAGAATTAAAAAGTTTAAGAGGTTAATGATGAAGCTAGAACTTGTAAATTAAACTACATAAGAGACCAGTGATTTCTCTTCATGCTGATGAGCTTTTGTTCAGCTAGATTAAAGGTAAATTGTTACACGCACTAACACTGGATGACTGGGATAAAATGAATTAAATTATGTGTCACTTTCAGATATCATCAGTCAGGATAACTCGATTTAGATCAGACCTGCAGAGATTAACATTCACTTAATTGTGCTCAGGAAAGAGATTTATAAACATTAGGCTACTTCTGCAATTTAGTAAGAAATCTGATCTTCAGATATTTACTATGAGAAACTCTCACATTTGCTCCATTTTCTTGTCTATTAACAAATAAAAGTATAACAACTGCATCTTCATGCAACTCCAGTAATAGTACCATTTATTGACTCCTATCTTCATCACACAGCTGAAACATTCAAACATACTGCAATACTGGCAATCAGGTTTGTAAAAATTTTGCCTAGTACATGTAACTACAGTGACWGATCAAATTACAATATTCCAGTCAAAAATTACATTGTCTCTACTTTTTTTCTTCTGTTAATAGAAAAGCTGAAGTGACCTTGCAAAATTATAAATACTGAAGACTCATCCTAGTACAAACAAGAATGCCTACAAAATGCTCATTGTCTTAAGGCAAAAAATGTGTACTCTTCCCTTTCCTCCATACACATTCACCCCCCCCACACCCCCACTGCACAAACGCACACCCAGCAGCTTTCTGAGACACTCAAATTTCACTAGTTCTGTCCTAAAGCTGTAATGAAATCTGCATTTTACACTGCATTTTACTGCATGGAATGGGACAGCACTTGTCAAGCACAGCAATTCTTTGAAGATGAAACACTATGGCTCAACAGAAGCATATCAAAAAGGAGGAAGTTGCAGCAATATACAGTGTGAGAGACAACACTGAAAGCTTTGCCAGCCTTGTGGTTGAAGCACCAACAAGGAAGTACAAGACAGCTTTCCTGGAGGTGCACAGGGGGAAATCCTAACTATTGGACAAAGGTCAAGATAGTAAAAAAATCTGTCTTTCAATATTTAAAGTCATCAAATTGCATGAGAGACTATTTTTGTACCTACTTAGTAGGTACAAAATAGAATTCTGGAATTCTACCTCCAAACCAGAGATACAATTTATTGAGTAGTCATTTTGGAGTGCAACTTGCATTTGCCTTACAGAATCAGGCAGTATWATGCTTCCATTGTCCTGAGGGCTTTTAAGATGGTTATACATCACTGTTGTCAAAGAAATGGCTTTTGAGCTACAGCAAAGTTAATTTAGTATTTCATGCAAAGTTCATGTTAGTTAAATACTTYGTAAGTCTTTTCAAAAGAAGCTTTATACTGACATTGAAAAAAATAGACAGTCTCTTATTCTAAGAAGGGATATAAGAGATGATCCTAGTTTAGTCCCATTTTTGAGGACAGGTAAAAAATTATACTTCTCTRCCCCTGCAGTATTCCATTTACCATGTTCAGTAAATGACACATAGTGATCTAAAGAACTAGCTGTCAAATACATGGTTGCATAAGGATTCTTCCCTAGGAACACAATATAGTCACAAAAACTTCAGGTGTAACATACTTTAATCATTACCTATTGAATATCCATTGTACAGCCTTGCTTTACTTACAAATCTGAATAAAAAACTTTTACAGCAAACATCAATACCAYTACCTGAACAAAATATAAACCAAAAGGGGGATTTCCTAATTCCACACTATCTGCTTTTGTGTGAGAGACACAGCCTTACAAATAAGAAAAACAAAAGTGGAAGCATCAAAACTCAATACCATCCTCAGAAATGGATGGAGAGGTGTAAAATATTACTTGATACTTTGCTTTGAATAAGATGTGATAAGAAAAGACAATGACTAGTCTATAACAGACTAGGAGAAAGTCTTCACATCTTAGTTGTCATATATATAGAGCTTCCTCGGTCCCTGATACACAAAATTTATCACATGTAYTCACACTCTGATGGTAAATGCACTTCCCACAGCAGGTTGAACGGACCCTTATGATCTGTCAAATGTGTTGGTTTTATATGGCCTGGTTTTTGCAGCAGAGGGGCCACAAAGATGGTTCCTGTGAGAAGCTTCTGGAAGCTTCCACCATGTCCAGCAGAGCCAACACCTAARTGCTCWGAAGATGGACACACCGCTGGCCAAGGCAGGGCCAATTAGAGGGGTTGGTTATGCCTCTGTGATAACATATTTAAGGAAATCAAAACAAAGGGCACACAGGTTTTCCWGCCAGAGAAGAAGAGGAGGTGAGAACAAGTGAGGGAAACAACACGGAAACACCAAGGTCAGTGGAGAAGGAGGGTGAGGAGCTGCTCCAAGGCCTTGAACTGAATTTCCTCTGCAGCCCAGGGTGACCATGGTGGAGCAGGCTGTCCCCGTGCAGCCCAGGGTGACCATGGTGGAGCAGGCTGTCCCCCTGCAGCCCATGGTGACCATGGTGGAGCAGGCTGTCCCCCTGCAGCCCATGGTGACCATGGTAGAGCAGGCTGTCCCCCTGCAGCCCATGG